GACTCCTGATTTCTAATACAGGAAGATCCCCTTCAGGAACAGTGGGATTCTAGGACAAACCTCTCACCCTGCTAATACTGAAATGAAGGTTGTACTGAAAGCTCATGATCCAACCGCATTTTGCATTGCACCCTACAGGAAGTTAAAGAACCACGACAATGTTTAGTCATTTACACCTGGTAAAATGCAACCCACTGTGCTTTCTTCCACCCACTCTGCCCAGCTGCAAGGAAGACAGACAAAGAACCAGGTTTCATAAGTTTAAGAAAGTTGGTCCCAAGAGACCTTGATCTCTCAGGCTGGGCATACCGTGCTCATGTGCAGGGGTAGGTTCTCAGTGTCTGTCTGGTCGTCTTGCTCAGATGAATCTGTTTCTTCCATTTGCTGCATTTCCAGCTCAGAGGGGAGAAGAGCTGTCAGGTAGGGTACGGTGAAAGGCCTGGCAGCAATCACTGGGGTTAGGGAAAAGGACATGGTCAGCAAGCTGGCAAATGACTCCTCAACTTGGAGATTACGAAGCACAAAGCCAACCAGCTACTTAGAGACCAAACACTTTGACTGGTTCTGGTTTTAAACACACACACTCTTTTCCTGCTGCTCCCAGGGATCAGGAATGAAATATGCTGTCCCTAAAAGATGACAGTTTCTAATTTCCTATTTTCTGAGGCCCCTTTATGTTTCCAGCCAAGGACACAGCATTATACTAACATAAAAAGTCCTTCCTGACCTCCGTAACAGTTCAATTACCTCATGGGCTGAAGCATCACTTAGTCCCCCCTTAAGATAACACTGCCATCTGTGCTGTCAGTGAGCCTTGGGAAGGTGGGAATTCTCAACACTGCTTTGCAGACAGAGGAACAGGAAAACCTCCACTGCCTCCCACAAAAACGTGAGAGAGAAGAAATTGTTCAAAAGTTACAGAGTGGTGGAGACAGGATTGGGACAAGCTTTGAATTTAGCACCTATCAGCCAAGGCCTCCTCCACCAGCAGAAGCAGGTAAGCCCTTGGTGAGGGTGGAAGCCTACCATTTGGCTTTGATTCTGTTTTTCACCTTCATTTTAAATAGAAAATTCCTCATTTCCCAGCCTTCCAGTGCCTCAAGAAGGGCAAACACAACGCGATCACTCAGTGCTTGCCTCCTGCAGTAGCAAGAACTCTAATGGAACGTATACTCAGTTAGGCAGCGGTCACTTACAGCACAAAAAGTCCTAGGTAACTCACGTGGGAACGTGCTGACATCATCTTTGAAGAGACTCTGCGTTTCTCCTGTCTTAGCCATGAAACGTGTGAGAGCTCTCTCTACGTCGCGCCGTTGGGATGCCGCCTTTTCCCGTAGGACTTGATAATCAGACACTGGCTCCCGATAAGTCTGTGGAGCAGGGAGATAGTAAAAAAAGACCACCATTCGTGGATGCAATGCAGACAGGTGAAATTCAAAACACTGCAAGGATGCAGAGGCTACAGGCAAACATTGACCTTCAATATGCAGGGAGCTACAGATGTCAGTCAGCCAGAAATCTACAGCAAGGACAACCCACCACCAACAAGCGATATATTAAGCCAAGAGAAGCAACGTTTTGGATAAACGGTACCAGCACTGTGCTAAAAATCCTTGTACACCACTCCTGGTGTCACTGACTTCAGATAGACCCCAAACTGGCATAAAAATCTTTTTTCACTCACTGGTGTCTTGATGTAAGTGTGAGGATCCGGAAACTCAGGGAAATGGCCAGGAATGTGGGATGGATGTGGCTTGTTCTGTCCAGCTGTCAGAGCTTTGGGAGTCACAGGCTGGTTTGTCACAGGAGCTACGGTTGAAAAACATGCACACACACAAATCAGCCAGCTTCATTCTGCCAAGACTTAGGGAGAAGGTGCGAACTTATACTGAGCTGAGACCCATGCCTCCAGGTCCTATAAAAGGGACAGAGCACATCCCACCAGCAATAATTTCAGACTGCGTTTGGCATCCCAAAAGGGAACAAGGATTACTTGATCCCTCTCTCCTACACAGGGAGAACAAAACCATCTTGAGGATTCTCCTGTGCAATGAGGATGCTGAAGCAAAGGCAACTGATTCGGCAGAGGGCACCTTCCTTCACAGGAAGCCTTAACACAAACTGCACTTCAGGAGCACTGGACTGCATCATCCATCTGAAAGGCAGGAGCTTTGGATGCCAGCAGAGAGGAATGTTGAATTATTTCCAGTTTCCTGCATTAGAATAGAAAGGATTTCCCACATACGGGCAGTGATGACCATCCTCTGGGACCGCTTGGCGTACGCAGGAAGCGTTTCAACATTGAACCCTGAAATACAAAAGAGGAAACAGAAATCACACCAAGAGTTTAACCTGTCAAAAATCTTAGGCTTCTCCAGATTTTTTCCAAGGGCTCCAAATTACATGAGAAAGAAAATGGCCCATTCTGTACATATTCATACTGTATCCGCAGCAGCGATAGCTGAGTGCCTGCAGGAGGCCCAGAGCAGCAGGCATCACACAAACATCAGAAACATTGGGGACAGATTTTCCTACCAACGGAGCACACCCAAACCTTCTGCAATGCAGGCAGCTGGAATCAGTGGAACCAGCCAACTACTCACCCATTTCCACTAGAGTAACCACTATATCGGAGAGCGTCGGCTGTGTTCTGGCCGTGTGTTCACAGTAGGACTTTGCGCTCCTTCCAATTTCAGAAATATCTGGGAGGAAAAAAAATATATTTGATTCAGACAGCAGCCACACAGGTATCAGCCCAACCCTGGCTTCAGAGACCTGAATTTTTAGCAGATTTAGCAAGGAATGAAAAATAGCTCCTGGAATCCAGCATCTCACAGCATGCGTATTTAAAATCAAAGCACGTGCAAAATATGGAGACACTAAAGAGCAACGAGTCAGATGCTTTCCACAAAATGCAAAAAGCAAATATGCGTCACAAGCGTGAAAAAATACAAAACCTGATCACCTCTTGACTTCAGAAAAATAGGTAATCTGGGATCCCAGGCACATCATCCAGAGGAGCAGGAGCAGAGCTGCCAAACACAGGAACGTCTACGGCCTTAACTAACCAAGGGTTTGGAACTTCGATATTTCTCTATTTATTCTGGCAACATCTCAATATGCGGAGCTTATTAGGACACCTAATGAGTAGCTAATGAGTACTTCCTGAGTAAGATAAATAAGTCATTCTGTGTTTGGACAAACAGCTCATGCTCACAGACACCTGTGACTCCAGGGCTCTGGCCACCAGTCTACCCTTCCGCTAACGTCATTAACACAAGATAATAAAAATGGAAGAAAAAAAAAAAAAAGCACAATAAAAAAATGAAAGGGTGAAGGCCCATTTGAAAGCAGAGAAACAAGAAACTCCAGGGGGTCAGCGTGAGATTGCTGGACGCTCCCAAAGCTGGATACTCACAGCTTTGTAACATCTCTGTCAGCGTCTCCACCGCGGCCTTTTCGGCGCTCTCGAAGCCAGCTTCGGTGAGCAAGGAGCTGACCACCACCTGCAGAGTCCTCCTCCGAGCCAGGTAGTAGTTATCCGCCGGCGTGGTTGCGTGCTTGCTGCCCGACCTCTGTGGACACAGAGACCCCCACCACCCCGAGATGGGAGCTCAGAGCAACGAAGCCACCTCAGCCCCGGGGAGCAGCGAGGCCGGAGCCCCACTTGCCCCAGGGGCAGGTACCGGGAGGGGAGAGGGGACCAATACTACCCCACACCGGGGGGATGAAGGCTGGGCTGCTGCACCTGGGCAGCCCCTTCCAGTGCCTGACAGCCCCAAGGGGAAGGAATTGTTCCCCATGGCCAACCTCACCCTGCCCTGGCACCACTTCAAAGGCCCCGCCTGGCCCCCGCTGCACGCACGCACACACGACTACATACGCATGCACACCTATATATATAAGTATACGTATACAGACCTATACGCATACATCTACACGCACGTACGTGTGTACATACAGACACACACGCATATATATATATATACGCAAAAACATGCATACATACATATCTATATACGTACAGACACGGTGCTGCAGGCACCACCCAACGCGGACGCCCTCTGGGCCGCGGCCCCTTTAAAAAAGCCGC